GGGGGGCGTCGCCCGGGGGCCGCGCCGGAGCCCCGGGAATTGCTGGGGGAGGAGATGGATGAAGTTCGCGGGTGTGGTGGGACCGGCCCGGGAGGTTGGGCCTTGAGGAGAGGTTGGGGAGCCCCAGAGGAGGGCGGCGGGGCCCGCGCTGGGAAAGTTGCCCGGGCCAGGGCGGAGACGGGGCACTGGCCACGGAGGAGTGGCGGGCGCCGTGCCTGTGCTGGAGTCCGGCCGCGGAGGGGCGGCCAGGAGGCAGGTCCGAGGGCTACGGTTGGGCATTTAGGTGGCCAGGTGGCACTTTGGGCCTCAGGAACGCAGCCCCCACGTCTTCTTTTCGGACCCCGGACGTCGGCCCCCCCCCAGCCGGCCTTTCTGTTTCTGGTTCAGTGGCGGCAGAGGCGCCTCCAAGAAGAAAGGTGACTCCCAGGGACATCCAGAGGAAGGCGGGAACCAACAGAAGTCTTCCCGGGGAGACACTGCCGGGCTGCAAGCCCCTGGGGTGGGAGCCCCTGGGTGTGGAGAGGCCGGGCTTGGAAATGCCTGGAACTGTCCTTAGTGCTTGCGGGGGTGATAGGCCGATGGAAGCCTCGACCTTCTTCAAGAAGTTTGGCCTGCAAGGGCCTTTGGAACAAGTGTTGGAACCTTGGCCGCGTCAGACTAGCCCAAGGCGCCCTTGAAAAGAACTCTCTGGAAAGGAGGAGTCCTTGATTCCGCAAAACCTGTGGAGCCCCTGGCTGTGTGTCGGGTCGGCCGGGGATCGCCGCCTGGTGAGGACCGTGGTGACTCAGGCCGGCCAGGCCCTGGTGCTCCCGGCCTTCCACTCTAGTGGGAGAGGCAGAGCCAGTGAGTAAACATTTAAATCAGGAGCTCTTGCCCACACTCTGAGATTACCCCGAGTAGATGAACGGGCGCGGTACACCCACAGGGCGGGTGGGAGGAGGACAGCTGCGTTCTCTCTCAGGAGGGCGGCATGAGCTCTCGCTGGAAGGATGAGGAGAAAGCCACCAGAGGCCTCCCCGGTGTCAGTGGGGGGTAATGAGGACAGCAAGGGCCTTGCGGCTGCCACATGCTGGGTGTATTCAAGGAAGAGACTGGTCTCTTCCAGAAGTGGGGAGGGGGGTGTGTGAGGAGCCAGTCGCCTTCATGAGTCAGTGTGTCGTGGCCGAGGGGAGCTGGTACGCCAGTGTGTGACCTAAGTCATCACCTGTGGTAACTTCTAAAGACTACTAATTTTCCTAGGCCCCAGGCAGAGGGAAAAGTTAATGGGGATGTCAAAGACCAGAGTTGAGACGCTCAGCCTAGGGAACCGGGAGCCAGGTATGCAGGAGCTGCGCGTTCTTGCAGTCTGACATGGAACTGCCAGCCCCTCTGGACTGTTTTTTTTTTTTTTTTTTTTAAGATGAAGCAGGTGTACTTTCTGGTTACCTGGCCTGGGGCTTGAGACTTGATCGGAACTGAGTTGGGGGTGAGCCTCTGGCTTGCTCTGAGGTCCTTTGCTTTATGTAATCCTTGAGACAGCCCGGGGCTTTGGTGAGGGCCACGCAGCAGTAATCATTGACAGGCTCTCCGGCCTTCCCTGGCCTTCGTGGCCTTCCTGCCTGTTGCCCCTGCCTAGACCTACTGACCTTTCAGAAGTATTCCCGTCTGACTGTGTGAACTAATGCCCTTACTTATCTGGAGTTCTGTTTGTTTGACAGCTTCAACAGCTTAATTTGAGACAGGAGTTCCTTTTGATCTTCTCCCCATACAAACCTCCCCCCCCTTTTCTGTTTGCTTCAGTGTTTCTCAGGAAGTAAGGTCATTGTTAAGAAGACGTGTTTCTCCAGCACATGCAGTTACACGAGTGCCACCAGATGAGTGTGCGGAGAGGGAGGGACATGGATAGTGAACACGCACGGCAGTGATTGTGGCGGCTGTCAGGGATTCGGTGTGTGTGTGAAGACAGAGGGGCTGCGGGGTAGTGGAAGGGCCGAAGGTCGGGTGGATGGATTGTTGGAGTTGGGGTTTCGGAGGGAATGACCTAGAAGACAGGATATGATGGGCAGTGAGTGGACTTCATGGAACACAAGTTCCAAGAGACTGCAATTGCTGAGATGAAGTCTAGACTTGACTGTGGGAGGGCTGGGAGGACAAGACCCAGGGGAGAGGAGGCCTAGTCCCTGAGACCAGGAGAATGATCTGAAGGCCTTTGCCTGGAGATGGAAGTCACCTAGGAGCTATGGGAATGGCAGGAGCCTGGGACAAGTCATGAAGAGTGGAGTAGTGAGCTGGGTCACAGGTGGTGTGCAAGGTGGGGTTGGATCTACCAGGTGATAGCGGTTTTTGAGGGGGTGAAGGAGAATGGTCTGGAAGCAACACTGAGTAATATGGAGGACGTCCCACTTAGAAGGGCGCAAGAGAAGCTGTATCTTCAGGGAGCACATGGGTCCACAGAATGAGAAAAGGACAAGAAAGTTCAGAGAAAGGTTGAGGAGAGGCCTCCCTAGTGGCCTATGGGCTAAGTCTCAGAGCTACCACCATTAGGGTCTGAATCCAATCTCAGGCCAGGGAGCTGATCCTCATGGCACAGCACACCTCTGTGGTCTCACCATCTGCTTTCCTCAGCAGTGGATTTAGGGGTTGTCCGCTTGTTCTGCTCTCCACTCTGTCTCTGGTGAATCTCATGCCCCTGCACCTCTGGCCTACATCCCAGTTCTTCTGTGTGTGTGTGTTTTTAAAGATCTGTTTTGTTTATCTGTCCAAGAACTGGGGTAGCTTCATAGTGTTGTGACTTAACACCTTGTACCCCTTTCCTTCCCTGAGAGGCCCCTTTCCATTTTTCAAACTTATTTTTTAAAAGATTTTGTTTCTGCATACAGAACTGGAGTACAGACCAGAGGTGCAGGAGTGGTGAGAGGATTCACCAGAGGTAGAGCAGGGAGAACAGGCAGATCGACCAAGTACACTGCTGAGGGGAGCAGTGGGCGGGTCA